TTGTAATAGCAAGAACTTGGAAGCAACCTAGATGCCATTCACATAATGGAATACTACTCAACAGAAAAAAAAAACAATGGAATATTGAAATTGACAGGCAAATGGATGTAACTTGAAGAAACCATCCTGAGTGAGGTAACTCAGTCACAAAAAGATGAAAATGGTATGTACTCATTCATATATGGATTTTATACATAGAGCAAAGAATCACCGGCCTATAATTCACATTGTCAGAGAAACTAAGATACAAGGAAGATTCTAAGAGATTCATACAAGGGCCCTCACAGAAGGGCAAAGGAAAAGATCTCCTGAACATATTGGGTGTCAGGGACAGTGAGTGGAGAGGGAGTTAGGAGAAACAGAAGGGGAGGAGAGAACATGTGGGACCAGGAAAACTGAGTCAGGGGACGAATAGATGAGAGAAAAAAAGAGAGAGAGAGATACCATGATAGAGGGAGCCATTATAGGTTTAAAGAGAAAACTGACTCTAGAGAAATGTTCAGAGACCTACAAGGATGACCTAAACTAACATTCTGAGCAACACTGGAAAGGCTACCTTAAATGCACTTCCAAGATAATGAGATCGATAATTAATTTATATGCCATCATAAAGCCCTCATCTAGTAGCTGATAGAAACAGAAGCAGACACCTACAGTTGAAGAGAGGAAGGAATGATAAGAAAAGGGGTCAAGACCAGGATACAGAAACCCACAGAGATAGCTGACCTGAACAATAGGGAGCTCATGGACTCCCATACTGATAGCTGGGAAACCAGTATTGGACAACTCAGAATGTGGGTCTCAGTTAGAAGGCCTACACAGTCTAAGGGACCTCTGACAGTGGAACCAGGATATATTTGTGGTGCACAAAAGGACTTTGGGAGCACATTCCCCATGGAGGGATACTCCCTTAGCCTAGAGGCAGGAGGAAGGGCCCAGTCCCTACTCCAAATGACCTGACAGATTTTGATGATCCCTCTTGGAAGGCATCACCCCCTCTGTGGAGTGGGGACGTGGGGACAGTGATGGTAGGGGGTCAGGGGGAATGGGAGGGAGAACTGGGATCGACATGTAAAATAAGAAAAAAATTATATATATATATATATATATATATATATATATATATATTCAAAGAACTAATAAAAAAATCTCAAAAAGATGGGGCTGAAGAGATGGCTAAGCAGTTAAGAGTACTGACTGCTCTTTCAGAGGTCCTGAATTCTGTTCCAAGCATCTAAATGGAAGCTCACAACTGTCTGTAACTCCAATTCAAGAGAACCCAATACCCATGGCAAAGCTCCAATGCACATTAAAAGTGAAAAGAATTCTCCACTTTAAATTTATATTTTTCAGTATCTTTGCATTTAATAGTTGAGTTGCAGTGTTTTGAAAGATGTCACCTTTCTTCATAATGTTTCCTGTGATTCTCTATAATGATTTGTGTTATCTGTTGGTTTAGATGTCTCTTCCAGTTCTTACTGATCATCCTATTCTTGAATATTCAACCCATGTACCACCATATGAAGATAAAGTAAACTGTTACAGCAGCAACATGACACCAAAAACAAAACTAAACTAATCTAAACTAAACTAAAAAAACAAAACAGAAATGACAAGACAGGATTTCTCCCTACCACTGCCCATTTACCCATTCCACTACCCACTGCAGGAGTCAATACTAAAAACTTACTCAAGGCTTAGCATTGTGTGGACTTATCTGGAGAGCAAGCATGCTCATCTGCACTTTGTCTTACCTTTTGACAGCTATTTCTGCTTTCTCCCTAAACCTCCTCTCTCTCTCTCTCTCTCTCTCTCTCTCTCTCTCTCTCTCTCTCTCTCTTTCTTTCTTTCTCTTTCTGTCTGTCTGTCTCTCTGTATCTTGTCTCTATTAAGATCTCTATCTTTTCTCTCTGTGGGTTTCTGATGCTTTTCCTTTGTCTGAGTTTGAGATAAAGCCTATCTTTCCCTATTCTGATATTCCTTCATTAGTTCACATAAAAGCATCTCCCCTTTAGTCTGTGCTCTTACCTACAAGTCATTAGTTCATAAATGTCTAAAAAATAAAATCTTGGAGTTTTCATGATATTCCACTGAATTTATAGTAGACTTCTAAAAGAAACTGAATCTACCAAATCTTCTAATTAATTCTTGCGAGTTAACACAAAATCAGTCCTTAACTTTAGTCACCACTGCTTTGAAATTCTTTAGGAATAGGATTGGGAGTCTTTGATAAAACAAACAAATAACCAGGAGAATGTACTCAAAACACATACTGTTCAAAGAACTTTAAACAGAACATGTAAAAATATCTATTGGATAAAAGAAAAAAAAAGAATTTGATTTGAAAGTGGACCAAATGTTTTAGTAGACTCTGAAAGAGAATGACTGTGGCTAACTAATGACCACATGGAAAGGCCCTCTACATCAGGGTTCAAGAATAGAAGATCCAAGTCAAATAATTTCTATTACGATGAGGTTCTATAAAATGGTGACTATATCAAGTACTAGGAAGAAAGTCAAACAACTGTCCATTTTAAAGTCTACATAAGGTTATGTTCTTGTCTATATGACTTGACCTTAGTGATAGTAGAAGGATCATCTAAGCAGAAATGCAGCCTGAAGGCCCACTGTGTACTGTGAAAAGGCCTCACATCAGGTGTGGTGCATGAATCAAATTGCAGAAGCGCTGTTCTTCCCAGGTGTGTCCAGCATTCTAAACAAGACTTCCAATTCCCCCAAGGCACATCTCAGTGCAGGGCAGAAATATTGGTGCCAGGGGAAAACTCATTGATGCAGGGTTTCTACATAGAAACCTTTAGGAAGTTCAGGAAACTGTTGAGTGAAGACCTCCACATCTGGCCACAAAGGGGCAGTGCTGCATCAGAGCAAATGAAGTTTGTTTCTTCTAAATACTCACCAATGAGCCAGAGATTATGTACTCATCAGGCTGCACTTATATATTTATTTGCATATATATGCTATATATATATATATATTTTTAAAGGGCCCATGAATTTTGGAAGTGAAGAAGGCCAGTAGAGATTGGAAGGAGATGGAAGAGATAATTTATGTAAATACATAATATTTTTAAAAACTGCATAAAATAAATTCGCTCCTAACTTGCTGAGATATATTCAAAGAACAACAGATACATGTACTTGTCTAGCTGTTTACCTATATTATATGTTTACTCTTGGCCCATAAGGTTGACAAATAGGAATTTTCAAGGGAACACTAAAGATGCATGCTGTCTTTCATACCCGGGCCCACTTTACCTTCTCCGATGTACATTAGTAGGTTGTCATCTACACTTGGTCCAATCTCCAGCCACCCTGATATGACCTATGGCTAGAATTATGTTATATATCCTTTAGACTGGAAAAATCTTCTCAAGGTTTGAGGCCAGATCAGGATCTCCTCTAAGTGGATCTGGCAGCAGTGTCCACACCCTTTCCTTCATCATCTTACCTAGACACACAGGTGTCTTTGGTAGGCTTCAGTTTTCTGTTCTTGAGTAGTGAGACTAGATTGAATATTGGAACTGTGCCTGTCCAGGAAGTCACCTGAGCACTCCCATGCAGTAGGCAGTTAGGCACTCAGCAAATACACAGCACTTCATCCTCATCTTTGACTAAACTTGCTTTTATCTTCAGATCACCTCTACTTTTTTCTTCTTTTTCAAGTTTCTACACATGAGAACAAATGCATATTTTTTCTTTGAAATTTGATATTTTTTATTTTGACTAATACACCCTTCAGTTCTATCCATTTTCTTACAAATGACACGATTTCGTTCTTCCACATGGCTGAATATGCTCTCTTGTTTCATATGAAATATCTTCTTTATTTGTGTGGTGACAGGTGGTACCAGGCTGTTTCTACATCTTGGCTATCATGGTCTTGCTCTGGAACCAGTATGTAATGGTTCCTTTTAAGTATGTGCATGTAGGTATCTTTCTAGCTTGATGAGTTCAGTTAGCTGCATAAATGAAAACAAGTAGAACAGCTGAATAATTGGCAATCTATGCTTTCTTTTCCTTTCTTTCTTTTAAAAATCTTTTATTTAAACTTTTTATAAAATATATTTTGATCATATTTCAGCTTCCCAGCTCCTCTTCCATCTCCCTCTCTCCCCAATAAAAAAAACAAAATAAAAAATTTTTAAAAAGCAAAATACTAATAAGATGGAAAATGTCAAAACAAATAAAAAATGAAGCAAAGAGCCCATTTTGTGTGGCATTGAGGGCCTGGGATATGCCATGGGGTGTGATTGATATACCTGGGGATTCTCCATTTAGGGAAGAATGACTTTCCCTTTCAATTGCAAATAGCCTCTTCCTTAGGAGAGAGAAAGTTTCCCCTTCTCAGTGCTTGGATTTTTCAATTTTGTAACTTTGCAGGATTCATGCATTCTGCCACAAACTCAGTGTGTTCATATGTGCATCTGTCCTGTTGTATCTGGAAGACACTGTTCCTTACAGTCAGTCATCACCTCTGACTCTTAGAATCTTTCCATCCACTCTTCTAAATAGATCCCTGAACTTTAAGGGGAATACTTTGATGAAGACATCACATTTTGGGCTGAGTGTCTCAAAGCCTCTCATTCCAAGCACATTGTCCAGTGGGTGTCTGTATTAATTCCCACAACTGCAAGAATAACCATCTTTGATGAGGTTTGAATATAGCATTAATCTATGGCTAAAGCATGTATATACTGCCATTCTTGGTGACTATAGCAACATGCTATAATATGTTAACACCAGCGTGGAATGAGTTGTTCCTTGTAAGAAAGGGGTTTCTAATTTTCAATGACTGTATTTTCAGTGAAACTAAATTTGAGCAAAATAGGAAGTGCTTCCTATGTCAGAAATAGCTTGAGACACAGTGTTTGTGAGGGGTGGAGCTTGTTGAAAGTACTGACATGACTATAAAGTTGGAGTATGTATTGTGGGGGAGATAAAAGGCCACCTGTGTTCTCCCCAAGCTTCAGTCTAGGAGGAATGGCCAAGATCCTGAAAGCATCATTTGTAGTCCTAACCTTTCAAGCAGCCTGTGAGTCATGGAGGAGAAACCCCAGGATGGGGATTAATGTAGAAGCATGGGAGAACTGGGACACCAGACGAAACCATGAATGCTGAAACCATAAAGAGTGCAGACCTAGGAACCTAATAACATTTGTCATTTCTCTACACAGGGGTGAGTGGCCAGCAGGAGGAGGGACGTGACCAGCAGCAAGTGAGACAAAGTCCACAATCTCTAACAGTCTGGGAAGGACAGACTTCAGTTCTGAACTGCACTTACGACAATAGTGCATTTGACTACTTCCCATGGTACCAGCAGTTCCCTGGAGAAGGCCCTGCACTCCTGATAGCCATACGTTCAGTGTCAAATAAAAAGAAAGATGGAAGATTCACGGTCTTCTTCAGTGAAAGGGATAAACAGCTCTCCTTGCACATCACAGATTCTCAGCCTGGAGACTCAGCCACCTACATCTGTGCAGCAAGTGCACAGTGCTCTCCAGGCACCTGAAGCCCACACACAAACCTGCAGCTGAGGATCCAGGAAACCCTGCTGTGGGGCTGAGCCTGGCAGAGGTGCAGAGCAGCTTTCCTTTGCAGGAGCAGGTGACTGGTTACAGTGAATGTAAGGATTACACTCATTCAGTCACAGACAGACCGAGGTGAAGTCACTGCTTGCTTTTCTCCAGTCTCCCTTTGCTCCTCAGGCATCGCTGGAGTTTTAGATCTATTTCTGTAACTAGTTTAGTTTAATTGTTTACTGAGTAATTGTGTAAAAGGTTCTCTGTGTAGTTGGTTTGTATCAAGTGTAAATTAAATAAGGTGTCATCTCCCTACACTCTTGTCAACAATGTTAGTTATGATTATTACAGCTCAATATCAGTAGACTTTGACTGGTTTCTGTGATAAATATCACATAGAATTGTCTTTTACGTTAATTTCCTTTATGACTAGGGAAGTGGTGGTTTATGTGACCACCAACCTCTTTTACTTCTTTTGATTTGCCACTTATATCCCCATTTACCTTCAAGAAATTCAAGTATGTAAACCATGAGCTACTCACATGGATGCAGTTATGTTTACAATAAATAAATGACATTAGTGGGGAAGGAATGAAGTTTACTCATGTAATGAAAATATATAACTTTCACCAAAGAAATGGTTTCACATGTGGTTTTCACAGATTAATCAAAAAATACAATTATGAGTGTAAAAAATGAATGTCAGAATGAGACATACTTCATGACACTACTTATAAGATAGCAATGTCAGAAATACAAATGAAATATTGTGTGTTGAAATTCTCATATTCTAACATCATTATGTTTCCGTTGTTGTTGTTAGCTTGTGTTTGTGTGCATGTACATTCCACAGTAGTGCACTCATGGAGGTCAAAGGACAGCTTTATAAATTCAGTTCTTTCCTTCTTCTGTTACCTGGATTCCTAGGGTTAAACTCAGGTCACCAGGCTGCCAAGACAGTGCTTTTTACACAATGACCCACCTCACCTTTAAGTTATACTTTTAAAATTTTAGTGTGGTGTGTGTGTGTGTGTGTGTGTGTGTGTGTGTGTGTGTGTGTGTGTGTGTGGTGTGTAAGTGAACAAATGCTTGGCCCATGTGTAGAGTTTGCAGGGCATCTTGTGGTATGGGTTCCCTCCTTTTTACGCTGTGGGTCCCAGGGTCTGAACTAAGTTCATCAGGCTAACAGGCAGGTGCCTAACCCAGAGTCATCTCACAGTTCTTAGAGCTTTTTACTTAATAGAAGCAGGTGCAGTCAATATGACCCCCAGAAATTGCAAGATGGAAAAAAATGGCCTCTTATTCCCTAACACTTTGCAAGATGTATTTTGAAGATGTCACATATATGCTAACAAAAATTGCATGAGGAACAAATTTAAATTTGTTCATGCTACACGGTCCAGGGTTCCAGTAGGCCCAGATACACAGGAGCCTAAGAGAGGATTGCTTTTGTCTAGAAACTGGAGGCTAACCTAGGAAATAAATTAAAAGACTGAACCAAGAAAAATGAAACTAAACCTGAAGAACAAGGAAGTTGTTTAACTTAAAATGCACAACATGCAATATCTCTTCACTATTCCCTAACACATAGCTTTTCAATATGCAAAAAGAAAAGCTGGAAAGTCAAATCCAATCAATTGAGTCAACTGACTATTAGCAGTAAGAGACAGCCCACTCAATGCCAGTATATGAACTCCTTGTTTTGTTCAAAGATTTACATTACTGTCAAGTTTAAAACAGATCAGAAATTTGGATTGTGTGTGTGTGGGGGGTGTGAGTGAGTGAGTGTGTGTGTGTAGAATAGTCTTCAATGAATAGAAAGTGCACAAGTTAAAATAGAATATGACGCCGGGGTTATAGTGTAAGAGCAGAGGCATAGTCTAGGATGCAGGAGGGAGAACTTGGAAGCTGTGGGCACCACAGCAGAAGTCTGTGCTGTATAAGGGATGTGAAGTTGGGAATTTTGTAAAGGAACAAGAGAGTCTGTGAGATCAAGTAGATTTAGAATAGCATAGCCATCACTACTTTGGTGTCTTCGTGTGGTGGCCAGGTATAATTCAGCTTTCGGAGTTGAGTTTGGGGATTAACATAAATTCCTTCACCAGAGGCATTTTTAGCATATAGTCAAAGACGGTTTTCATTCCTTCAGTATATGAAGCATGAAAGGTTTATTTTGGACAGTGTTCTCATAGTCACAGTGTTGTCGATGAAAGATCATTGGTTTCTCTAAAAGCTGTAACAACAACTGCAGACTCATGTCAAACGTGGGCATTCTCCTATGGCAGTGAATATCATCACTGAATATCTGGTCACAGAGGCTCCACCGTGATCATGCTTCTCCTGCCCCAGACTTCCACTAAGATTCCCACAGAGAAAAAAATGAAAATAAAAAAGAGTCCCACAGCATTGTGTCATCACAATGAGCCTTTGCTGGGCCATTGGCTCTCTGGGACACAACCAGAGACTTCAGCCTCACAAGCCTATTCTGACACAATTTGTCTGAGCAGGCCTTTAGCTGATGTGAAGTCCCACTGGTTTGGGGTGAGAAGGAAGGAAGGAAGGAAAGAAGGAAGGAAGGAAGGAAGGAAGGAAGGAAGGAAGGAAGGAAGGAAAGAAGGAAGGAAGGAAGGTGTGAGTGAGGATTTCTGGTTTGTCTCTATAGGGAAGCCAGGGCTAGTCACATTTCACAAAAAAAAAAAGTCAGAACAGTTGAAATGTGAGTAAATAGGAGCATTACCTGGAGATTTGCTATTTTGTTTCAGGAAAGCCTCTCAGACCTTATCACAGATCAATTTAATAAACTATTTCTGAGCTTCCTTTATTCTTTGTCTTCAAGAATTTACTTTGAATTGTTTATTTGTGTGTGTGTGTGTGTGTGTGCGCGCACACACACATGTGTTGGGGGAGTGATTCTGGCACTTCTTTGAGACAAGAAGAGGATGTCAGATCCCTTGAAATGGGAATAAATGAAATTATTCATGAAACATGGTTATTGACAATCATGCTGATTCAACCAATTAAAAAATTTAAGTCCTTTTTTATTTATGGTTGACAAAGAGTGGGTCTGTGCCTTTGAAGGTCTCTTAGTGCACAGTTCACAAGTACAGATATTATAAAGGCCAAAACCACACTACCATAATTTACATCAAAGTTAGATGAAAGTTACGTCAAAGTACCCTTGAAATGCTCATTACTGGTAGAGCATGGTAATTATTTTAGATATAATGTGCCAATTATTTTTTACTTTTCTAGTTACTTTAACTTACTTAATTATTTCAGTTAACATATGTGGACATGGTCAAAATCATGGCATCTCAAATGTGTTGCCAAAGCAGGTGTGAGCATTGTAGTGAGGGAAGTAGAGGGCTGAGAACTGTCTAAGTAAACACAAACTGAAGCCAGAACAGGATGACCTCACCTTAGGTATTTCAGTAATAAGCAGTTGCTGGATGACCAGCAAACTAGAACCTGAATCGCCATCCTCATGATTGAGCCCCAAGTGTTCTTAATCATCAACCCATCTCTCAGACCTAAGCTTTATTCTTTACCAGGCCATATTGCTAGTCAATTAAACCACACAAAAAGGAAAGAGAATGTTTCTAATAGAAACAATTTCCCAGACCAATACAAACTTCATATACTATAAAACCACACTTTTGAGACCGTGGGAGAGCCTGCACCTGTTCTGCCAAGAGCATAGAGTAGGAATACAGTTCTACCATCGAGGCTGCCTGGGCTGCTGTGAGCTCCCATGGTCTCCTGCTTACCTACAGAGACTGAGTTACTGGGACCTTCTAGAATTCCGATGGACTTACTTTTACTGTGGGGTTTAAAAGTAGTTATTTTTTTTTAAATTGCAGAATCTATACAGTCCCTAGCTCTCAGTAAGGAAGGAAGATTGCTTCAGGTCCAGTGTTTCATAGGGAACGCATACACCTGTGCAGCCTTTTCTTTATTAGACAAAGAATGAAATGAAGTAAACATAGGACAATGGTCTATAAGTGCATTAAAGATAACACATGGATCATGGTGAATCTGACTTCTGGTCTCCCACATTATCCCACTGAACAACACCCATGTGTGCAAAGCAGCTTCACCCTCAGTAGGAATAAGTTATCCCATGCTGCTTTTTAATGGCTGTATCTTTTAACTACCAAGAAAGACAGGAAGCAAGTAAGTCTGTGACAAGCTACACTTTTTCTCTATGTGGAACTTGTGGCCTATGATCATTCAAAACCCATTTCCTGCTTGAGTCGATGTAAGAAGCACAGGCGGTACATACGCATACTGCCAGACACTCAGACATTGAGCACTGAGCTGAGGCAAAGCAGACACACTGGTACGGAGGGACACATCCTATGTGTCTCTCTGCGTGTTCTCTGGTATGGCCTTGACCTTCTGTGGTATGGATGCCTCACACACAGCTAAGGATATATTAAGCAGGACGAATTGCCCCATGACAAATCACATGGACTTGACGGGGAATGGGGATTGGAGAAAAGCAAGCAGAATGTGAGAATGTGTCTTCAGTTAGGTTTATCAATCTTAAGATAATCTAATTCCTACACTATTTTATTCACATCACACAATCAGCTGGGTTTTTTGTTTTTGCTTTTGTTTTTGTTTTTTTAATCCAATACAGGCCAGAAAGTGACTTGGGTCCAACCAGCACAAGTGGGAAGAGAGAGGAAGTCACCCTAGTCCGTTTATATACGACATGGCAGAACTTGCACCATAATTCACTGGTATAAGTTTCTTAGCAGAGAGATGATTTTCCTTATTCATCAGTTGTCTTCATCTAGTCAGAATGAAAGGAGTGAGCAGCCACTATTTCCATCATCTTCCAGAAGTCAGCCCCATCCATCAGCCTCCTCATTTCAGCCTCACAGCTAGAGCATTCAATGAATTATTTATGTGCTCTCTGTGAACTGGCTCACAGCGTTGGAAATGACAGCACAAGCTGAATAAATGTAGGAAGTCCTTAAGCACACTTCCCCCTCAGGGAGCCCAGCTGAGAAACACACCTATACACC